ATAGTCCAGCAAAATCAAAGATTGATACATCAAATTGATGAAAAACAGAACACTTACTTGATGGAGAGGGAAAGAAAGTTTCAGCTTACAGGGTAATGGCGTTGGATATATCGTTGTGACAGAAATAGCCTGGGCACAAACCGAGTTATTTTTAGGCACTTGTGGCCCGGCTTGGTTTGTTCAAGTAACAGAAATTTCGGCTTGATACTTGACTCATTTGAAGCAAGTACTTACTATATCAAGTTTGGTACTTGTAAAAATTATATATTTGCTACTTGAAAGTACTTAAATATATATAAAAAAATCTCCATACAAATTACAAAACATTCAAAATTTAAACATCCTAAAATCACAAAACATTAAAGTCCTAAAAGATAAGCATTTTAAAAAACAAGTTTTCCACATCATAATAATAGTAGGAAGAGATTAATCAATAATCTCTTAATCTCATAAATCACATAATGGGCTAAGGTTTTATTGGCCATGAAAGAAAACATAAAGCAATGCGCTAATGCGATGAATATTACCTAGGCTAGCTTTTTTTGAACAACAATCAAGCTAATAGGGAATGTCAATCAAGTAATATACAACGAGTATCAAGCCAAGTTATCTAAACGAGTATCAAGCCGAGTAACGGACCAAGTAGTAAAAAAATTTTGGTGACCATCTTCTCCGTGAAGACTCGGCAGAACAGCACCGGCAAATCATGGTTCGGTTTTTGTACGCAGTGTGAAGAGATCTGAGTCGGGTTGGAGATTCGCGACAGTCCGGCGGGTCAGGAGGGTCGGGCGGGTCCGAAGGATTCGACTGACGAATCGCAGGCGACGCCGGATCTGGCCATGGTAGTAAGGTCATTAGTTGTACTGTCATTTTCGACACCGAGATTGTCCCGATCGGGACTTGGGTGCGGCTAATTCGGAAGTGCAGAGGATTCTTCTCTTGGAAAGAGAGAGAGAGGTTTGCAAGATTCTCGCCGGAGAGATCTCCTCATAGTTCTGAGCGCAACATGTGCTTCCCCTTTTCCAGTTCGGCGGCTGTGGTCTCAAAGGAGTCCATAGAGCAGGTAATGAAGCCATGGATGAGTTCAAACGCCGGCTAAGAGAGAGAGAGAGTCTCAGGGAAGGCGGAAGAGGAAAATCGCCGGTGACAAGAAACTCATAATCTCCGGCGGCGGCCACCTCGGTAATCAGGCCTGAGAGGTTTCCTCTAGGACGAACTCTTCTCTCTGCTTAATTTTGTTTAATATTTAATTTTGTTTAATACTTTGAATTTCTCTGAGATGGAAAGGATATATTTCAAAATATCATGTTTTGATTCTTGGGTATTCTTGAGAGTTTTTATAAATCTGATAATATGAAATCTGATGATAAACAATCAATCTTCCGCATTTAGTTTCTTAAGCCAAGGAATTTGATTGGCGTTTTGGCTATTAATTTTATCACGATAAATAAATAAATAAACAATT